AAAGGTGTTGGGAAGGGGGAGTGATGTGACTATTGAGTGTGGGGTTGGGTTTGGAAGATTGATGGGATATTTATAGGGGAAGATAAAGTGTTATTGTAGGATGGGGACTCCCAAGCTGATATGGAGCAGTTGAATTTCGAATTTTAGGCAGGCTTGGAGTCCTATCGTGATGAAAATTCTACCTGAACACGGATTGTAATTTTTTGAACGTAATTTGGGACTCCGCAATTATTAATCGCCGTCTTACTCTCTCACGCTGACGACTTCCCGCAGCCTAGAGAGTGGGGAACTGATGATGGAATAATTACCGGGCGAGTCCAAGGCGAACCGATAAGGAACATCATCGAACAAGCTACCCACGGCATACGACGAATCACCCTGGGGTCTGTCCATCACGAGACCGGCCCATCGTGGAGCCGGCCTCCATGGGCTCGGCCGAGCCCATGGCCGGCTCCTTGGCCAAGCTCCATGCTTGTCCAAGGAGCTAGGTCCTCGCGTGGAGTGAGTCCCACGATAACAATTGCTGCTCCTCCCGCGTATCCCGGAGTTGTTGGCAGCACATGGAGTATAAAAGCACTCCTCAGTGTCTTGTTTAGACATCTACTACCTTTACACTATAGTTGTCTTGTTATTACACGTCTCGCACCTCTGTAATAGCATTATACATCCAATTAATACAATATTCGTCCCCGTGACGCTTATTTGCACATTATTTCTACCCTTATTATCAATATAAGCAATATCTATTTGATAAAACATGGAGAACTTAAAATAATAGCTTATTGTGAAACGTTATCCCAAATAGCATTTCAAAATAAGGTTTTGACTTTTTAACTTTTTTTCATTTTTAACTTTTTTTCATTTTTATCTTTATTAATTTATAAAAATGATATCATCTATTCATTAATATAATCAAAATCTGAATATCTTAGTTTATCATTTTGTCTTTCTACACTTATCGGCTAATTCAACAATTAATTTTACCAAACACTTTAATTTCAAATAGTTAGCTTATTAACTATTATCTTTTCAACTTTCAACTAGCTTTTCAGCTAGACGTCTCAAACATAACCTTATCATAGTGCTAAATCTTTATGTAAAAAAATATTATAATGTACTGCGTATCACAAAAGGCTAAAGACTTATTTTGATCTGAGATGTCATGCACGCTAATGGGTGAAGTTGTGACTTCAATTAGTCATAGATCAATGATATTACATACTCAAATGAGCACACTAATCATTTCCCATAGACGAGTAGACGACGACTTTGCAATATTTAATTGGACTAATAGTATATGATTTCTAACATAAATACATAATACATCTTTCAAATCATATTATCATTTTAGTTTACAACAACAATAGGATTTATTCAATCTAGCTAATAGTATTTGAATATCGGAAATTAAATTAAATGACGTCACGCTGCTAGCAACCGCCATTGTTGGCTCCAAGCGATCTTCAACATTAATTCTGGACGTCGGCGGAGAAGGGATTGAAGCCAGATTTGAGAATGAGTTCAAGTGGAGGAGTAAGAGGCTTTGGCATGTGGTTCCACTCATACCAATCCCAACCCTCGCACCTTTCTGGTTCAACGTTTTCTGGGATCTGATCAGGATCGCTCAGTTCTGCTCGGATCAAGAGTACTACGTAGTGGGATGGTTTAGCTTCATTGTGAAACACATGGTTTATCACCTTCAGAGTCTCTATGTTCTTTAGCTCTAACCCTGCTTCTTCCTTCACTTCTCTCGCTGCACATTCTTCAAAAACCTCCCCTGCAAATAAATGAAGTGGTTAAGATTTCACTACACTATCTAGTTTAATTTGTCTCCTAGCCTATTGGCATGGCCTTCTTGATTTGAGCTGATCACAACTTATGCTAATTTACTTTTCTATAGTCTTTGATTGACTAAATCACAAGTACAGAATTTACTTAGAGCATATACTCAGATTGTGGGTTTCTCTTTTCACTCAAAAACATGAATATATATATTAAGGTAGGTACCAAATTCGAGGTGGCCACTGGGAACGGAGAAACAAGAAGTGCCAGCACCGGCGAGGCGCTTTCCGACCAACACCTTCTCCCCTTTGAGTATGAACACTGCCACTGCAACTTTGGGAACCTTATCACTGCTCATTTTCAAGGGTTTTGGATAAACCAATTCAAGTGGATGATAATACTGTGTATAGTATAAGGTTGAACTTGGTTGTGGATTTTAGCTAAGTATAACGATTGGTTTTAGCTCCAATGATGCAGGGGCTCCTTTTATAGTGTAATCAGGGCTGCTGGTATCAGCATACCATATTGGAACTGTATAAAGAGTCAATAGAAAACAAATTATAGTACGTATACAACTGTTTGTATTTCTACAACTCTAAGGTAATAATTACGTTATGATTAGGATATCCTGTTCACAACATGTTAGTACTGCTCCCAATGGTTACTGTCATGCACGAACATTGAGATTTTAAATTTGCTTTGAACTTTTGTGAACAAATTTAAAATGTATAATTTTGTATTGAATTTTGAAGTTAGATTGACTCGATTTATCTTTCTAATGAATCTGAGAGACATATTCATGCATGAGGTATGTATAGGATATAGCCGGACAAAGCTGAAAATTTTGAGTTATCAAAAACTACTACTCCTACAATAATATATATATATATATGGCTGCGTTCAGGTGCGAACTGCTTGTCCGAGAGAGAAATGAGAATGCATACCATACGTCCACGTGTCCAGATCTAACGGATGAGAAACACTGATTTTTTTAAAAAATGCTGTGACCTTAAATAATTGAACATCCAAGTGCAAGTAAAATGTATTACAAGTGCAAGTAGCAGTTTCATATAGTGCAACCTCAGTGCAAGTAAAATGTATTACAAGTGCAGGTAAAACGTATTACAGGTGCAATTAAAATTTACACTGAGCAGCAATACTAAGTGCATCTAACATTATACATAGGTTCACCTATACCTCTAAGTAGTTGCACCTAGGTGCATGAATATTAACAAAGTAAAATTACTTCCACTTGTAAGTGAAAATAGGTGCACTTGTAAGTGATTTTACTTGCAAAGGTGCACCTACTTGCATTTATAACACATTTACTTACACCAAAGTTCAAATTATTTACGAGAAATGTCACGGCGTCATTTTTTTAAAATTATATCTTATTCGTTGATCTGAATACATAAACAACTAAAAATAGTTCTTATTTCTCTTCTGAACAACCGTTCTCACTTGAGCGTACATAATTTTATCATTTAATCAACTCTTTTACAAACGCCTTCCGAAAATGTATGTACTAAGAGGCCAGTGGCCACTAGCCGACCTAGTCATCTTTGCTTGGAAAGACCAAACAAGTTGATGCAATAATGTTGTCGAAGAAAATGACCTGGCAATACAAGTTGATGGTTTCAATTTTACATCCATTGAATCTATCTAGACGTTTGACAAAGTTCAAAGTATATATGTACTTAGTTGCAGACACGTGCTTTGCACGAAACGTCAAGTCCAATGATAATATATATAAATTTTAATAATTGTTATACGAGAAAATAAAACATACATAAATACATTATTTAAATAACAACATGATACAAATTATAACTTTAATTAGATTTTATCATCCTATGGTTCTCTAACACACCCACCTTGTCACCACTTCAAAGAAACTCATATAAGCCATATTAGGTTCATATTATAAGTAGCATTATACAAGTCAAAGTAATGAAGCAAAGTATTTTTACTGTCCCAAAGTTCCCAAATGATGATATCATATAAGAAGCAATTTCTATTGGCTTTTTATTATTATTATTATTATTATTAAGTTCCCAAATCACGGCTGGAAATCAGCGATTTTCCGCCACCTCAAAATATGGTCGCAAAAAGTAAATTTTTTTCTTTTTTCCGTCAAGTGCTATGGTCGTCGGAAAGTGGTCGGAAATTTCCGACTACTTTCCAAGAGTGGTCGGAAATTCCGACCACCTTTAAATAGTGGTCGGAATGTTTACGGTAGTTTAAATTTTACAACTATTTTCCGACCACCTTTTACTAGGTGGTCGGAAAGTCTCTTTTTTTTTTTTTTTTTTTTTTTTTTTTTTGGTTCAATGGTATGATAACCGCATATTTTTTATCTTTTTATCCTTGATTATTTTATTCATTTTCTTTTTTCAATTCCAACCGACCATGATGCAGAGAGTTTACTAGTAGATACCATCTCACCATTCTTGTTATGAAAAATAAGACTATGCTGCCCTTTCCATGTTGATACATGAAATTATTTTCTAACTTCAACTCTTTAAAACATTTATTCTTGTTAGGATTGTACAATCATAGTTCTATTGCTACATAATGTATTATATATCATTGTGTATTGTACTGTGTTTTATTTTTATTACATAATACAAACATTCATAAATAGTATAGTAATTTATATTAAAATTTTAAATTTATTTAGATTTTAGATATTTAAATTATTATAAATAATAATAATAATCTAAAACATTTTAATAAATTTAATATTTATAATTTAGGAATTAACTAACATATCACTCTAATATATAATGTGTATAAATTATTATTATTGAAGAAGATAATAAAATATATGGTGGATGCATGTGCATGGTAACAATAGTGGAAAATATAACGGAAGTTATAACTGTATGGGTATGTTTGTCATTTTCAAAAAAAAAAAAGTATGGGTATGTTTGTCCAGAATATTGTATAGTACAACTTTTATAGCATAATAAATAAACAAATGTAACGAAAAAGCGAACATAAATGAATGGTATAATCATCATTTACACTTATTATGTTTTTAAATATTAAATTATACATTTAAACAATTATATTATACTTTGGACAAAAAAAATAAAATTAATAAATGGGCGCCATATCCAAATTTTCGCCCCAAAATTTCACTAAGTGACGTTTCGCGATTTCTCTCTTATCCATCTTGCCTCCTCCCTCCTCCAGTAGAACAAATCTGCTAAACCCATCAAGTGTGAACAGCTCCCACATCTGACATCTCTCTCACCCAAATCCATCCTCATTTCCTCAAACCCATTTTCACGTCTCACATCTTCACCCTTTTCACCGTCTCACCATCAAATGGACTCTGTCACCGTCATCCGACGCCACAAAAAACGGATGGAGAAACAGATCCGCCACTATCGCTCGTTGCCGGTGGAGAAACAGATCTGCCATCATCGCTCGTCGCCGGTGTAGAAACAGATCTGCTAGATCATTAATCCCAGGTTAGATAGTTGTGTTTATTAACAGTTTAGGTTATATATTTTGTTGTGAGTTTGGTAGAGAAGTATCTGAGAAATAAAACAAGTGTTGAACCCTAGAATTCCGTAGAAAAGTATTTGAGAAATCGCTTCAATTACACAAATAAGTGGAATTTTATTATTGGTAAGATTAGAATAGTTTTATTATTGAGCAGTGTGAAATTTGTGGAGCAAGAGTTATGGGAAAGAAGATAATGGAGTGATTGGGATTCTCCTTGTTCAAGATTCTGCAGAGGCTAGTACTGTGGATCCTGCTTTGTCTCCAAGTGATTTCCTATGAGTTTCACTTGTTTATCTGTTACTTTAGTTCATTCTTGCTTTGTCTCCAAGTGATTTCCTATGGGTTTCACTTGTTTATTTGTTACTTTAGTTCATTCTTTGATTACAATATTATATGCAATTGTTATAGGCATGGGAACTGATTCTATAGAGTGTACCTTGAAAAATCAAGCTAGCATATCAGATTTTAACAAACATGATGAAAAAAGTCTGCAGCAAGTTCACTAGCATAAGTGGTAAATCTGTCATATATCCCCTTGAGTTTGAAGTGTTGGGGATTTATAATTTAATGTAATGTCAGGTTATTTGTATTTAGAAACTGAATTGGTCAAAGTTATACAATGTCTGATTTTAAATTTTTAATGCAGGGGAGTGGCTGATCGAGCTCTGCATCTCTCAAGAGGAGTAGAGAGACCAAGTGGGAGAGTGACTTACACAGTTGTGCTAGAAGGACTTTGCAGATTCCGTGTACAGGAGATAAGTACCAAAGGGACTTATTACACAACACGAATTACTTCTCTTGAGTTGACTAAAGCCGGTAAAGCTTCTGCTATTTCCTTATGTATATACGTAGGTGATGGCTATTTCTGTGGCTACAGCAGCAATTAGGTTTGAAATTTGATGCATTGCTATCCTAAGTTATCAGTTCTTAAACATGCAACTTTGTTTGCAGGTTTAGTAAATCACTAAATCTTGTTAGATTTTACTGATTTTCAATGGACTAGTCCAAGCTGTGATCTAGAGTATAGAAGAATGATTGATGTAGATTAATTAAATCCGGTGGGGTATTACTTACTTTTAAGATAGTAGAAACAATTAGGAGAATAGGACGCACAATATTATATCTTCAGTGTTTAATGAGAAGACATGGATTGTTTTACTGGCCAAGTCGTCACCTATTTACTAGTGGAAGTGCTAGGATATCTTAAAATAGATTACATGAGCTAAATGTGTATATCTTCTTTACTCTTAAATTTCCGTTGCACAATTTTAATTATATTATTAACCATGAATTGAAGTTTGCTTTTTGTGTGTGTGTAAGAACAGATTATGAACTCTTAATAATAGAAGGGAGGGTACAGATTGCACTAACACAATTATTTTCTTCATTTTACACATGCGCATATTTATTAGGGGTATATTTACTATCTACTTGTATCCTATACTCCTGATGTTAATGATAATACCAATATTAGTTCATAATACTCTTTTGTCACTTTCATCAAGATGTGAGTTACTAGTGTTTTTCTGTCCTTAATCAGAGATGGAGCAAGTTGAGCAAGACCAGGAATTCATTGTCTTGTCATGTCAATCCAAAGCTACTGCAATGGAGCTTATCTCTGTTCTTGACCAGGTTAAAATTTAGGTTTATCATTAATTATTTTGTTCTCAATGAATTTATGACTAACAAGTCTTATGATTTATACCGGAAGTGAAAAAAGACAGACAAAATGTGGTAACTTTAAGATATTTTTATTCAGTAAAATGAAAAAAAGGTCTTATTTCAGTCTTAATGACTTGCATTATATTGATTGTGATGGCTTCTTCTATAATGAATTGTGAGAGAAAGATGTTATTGTATTTAATTAATCTAATAAGTTCTCTCTACTTTCTTAAGAATGCAAAGATGAAGCAACTTGTGGATGTCAAATGCAGCTCTTTTCTGTTCAAATGCAATTGATGAAAAGCAGCTGTGGATATTAAATGTTTTTTTTTTTTTTTAATTTTATTAGGTATTGTTCAAATGCAATTGGTGGTCGGAAAATACTTTTTTTTTTTATAAAAAAAATGGTGGAATTTTCCGACCACTCCACCAGTGGTCGGAAATTACGCAACTCAGGACTTTCTCCCCGACCAAGATTCTGACCACATTGTAATAGTGGACGCTATTTCCGACAACCTCATATGGTGGTCGGAATTGCGACGGAGGGTTTTCCGAATCCCTAAAGTGATCGTAATAGTGGTCGGCAGAGGGGTTTTCGACCGAAAATCGTCGATTTTCGACCACTTTGCGGTGGTCGGAAATTCGAAGATTTCCAGCAGTGAATACAATTCAGACCATATTTATAATTATAATGATTATATAGTCATAACATGCAGAGAACTCCATTGCATCGACTCCGCTGCAATGGAAACTCTCACACCACCAGCTATATATATATAGCACGGTGGACACGGTTCCACAGCATTATCTAAGCTCAGTGAGCCTAGAAGGTCGGGTACGCATGCCCTTTAGGTCGAGTTGGGCTCAGGCCACCCCAAGGGTCCGTTACCGACCATCGTATGGGCATAGTGTCAGGGAATAATCCCCATCAGAGTCTTTTTTTTTCCAAAAATATTTTCCTTTCCATTGTTTGGTTGCATTCCAGAAATTTGTCTTGGTGTTTTTAGTTCATTTTTTAGAAAATAAGTAGAATTATTTTTAATTTTAAATATTTAAAATATACAATGATTTATTATTATTATTATTATTATTATTATTATTATTATTATTATTATTAAAACCCACAACCGTATTCCAAATCCCTACCATTACTCAATATTTTCGCATCTGAAATGGCGATTCGCGAAGAAGATGGATAAAAGGGCGGCGTAGCGACGGTGGAAGCCCAGTGTGGAGATTGACGGCTGGTTGGGCTGCGACGGTGGGATCTCGGCTTCACGATCGATGGTGGCGCAGGGTGTGGCGACGACGACGACCTGGCGAGGGGTGTGACGGAGACTGGAAGCAAGATGGTGGTACTGGGCATGGCGACGACAACGTCCTGGTTGAGTTTGAGGTGCGACGGTGGCTGGTAGCAAGGTGGTGGCACTAGGCGAGGCGACGATGACGACCTGACCAAGTTTGGGGTGCGACGAAGGCTAGTAGCAAGGTGGTGGGGCTGGGCGTGGCGACGACTGTTGGAAATTGGTGAACAAATCGATACACGAAATATATATAATATATATTCGTCCCAAAATTGGAATTAAATTTATAGAAAATTAATTCCAACCAATTTTGGTTCAAAACCAAAATTACAAATATATACAGCGTATATATATTAACCAACTAGAGATTTATTTTATCAAAATAATCCCACTACAGCTAGTACGAAACAAGTACCCGGGACTTAATTTCCACGAAATTAATCCCACCACAACTAGTACGAAACTAGTACAAGGATTTAATCTTTCCGAGATTAATCCCACCACTTGGTCCGAAACCAAGAACAAAATAAAAGCAAGAACGGGTTTCTAACCTGAGGTTTTAACCAAACGCGAAGAAACAAGAAGAAGCAGAGGAAGCCCGAGTCGTGTGTACACACACTCTCCTTAAAACGGATTTGCCACCTCCTGAGGGTGCTAAGATCGTTGTGGCGTCAGTCTCCCAGGATAAAACGGACTACGACTTTGGCGTTCGAGCACTCCAACCCAAAGCCCGGCGAACTAGAACACAAGTTGAGCACTCCGATGTTTTATGGAATTATGTTGGCAAACAATCTTTCTCTTTTGAAATCAAGGAGATTAGAGAGAAAAACAATAGTTTTTGAGTTTTCAGAAATGGCGTGAAAACATTCTGCCAACATAACAAACTATTTGTAGGGAAAGGGGAATTAAGTAGCATTATAATGGCCATTAACCAACATAAATCCAAGATTTAATAATTGGATAATAACGTTTGAAACGGTCGTACTTATTATCGTAATAATACCAACGGTCACGAACTTAAAACGCGATTAATTCGTACCGACCACAACGACCCGTTTCAAAATATCTGAGTGACCGAGAAGTCCATACAAACCCGAAAGGTTAACGAATTGGGACCGGAAACCACACCCGAGTGGTCCACACACACCGAAATGGTGCAGCACGAAAGGAGCTCACTAAAGAACACGAAAGGAGCTCCAATTCTCCAATGTTCAAATTAAGCTATCAAAGCTTAATTACTCAACTTTCGTGTAGCACGAAAGGAGCTCCACTCCCAATTCTCCAAAATAAGCTTTTTCAAAGCTTATCACTTTGTAATGTGCTAGCAGCACATTACTTGAATTAAGCTTTCGTGTTTTAAGCTCAAAGCTTAACAAAAGCACATCTCGTGCTTAACGATTCATTAGCATAAAATGCTAATTAACTACCGCTTAATTATCCTTTCGTCATTTGGACTTCTCTCAAATAGGTTCACCTTGAGAATCAATTTCTCATTCACCTATTACCCATTTTGAGCGTACATTATATCTAATTTTCCGTCTCACTACGAAGAACTCGAATCCACTTTGACCCGACCCAAATCGAAAGTAGTGGACCCACATATATTTTCACCACAAAATAATCACTCAAAATGCCATTTTTAGCTAAAAAAATTCCAACAATCCCCCACATGAATGAAAATTGATTTTCGGGACGAGGAAAAACGACATGAACGTGCTCAACGGTCGATCCCTGCATAGCATAGGTAGGTATTACCCTTTGAACCTTTCATTGTGAAGATATGTTTACTCTACTGGCTGTATGGTAGTACTTGATGTCTTTGAACCAACTGCCGTTTGTGTAGACGATGACATATCCCGCACAGGAACCTCCCAACCTTTGTTCTGTTCTCATGGGTGTGCCCGTTTTGGTCATGGGTCACTTTCCTAGTTCTGCGAGAGTTTCTAAAGAATTGAGCCCATCAATTCTCCTTTGAAGCGACCCCACTTCTCTCTAACATAGGTGATTCTTTATCGAGTATCCCGCATACTCACACATGTCACCCGGCATTCGAATCATTAAAGCATCAACATGCTAGCCTCGTGCGGGAGTCACTGTTCTAACGAGGAATGGTAGGGAGTCCGAGACCCCCACAGTGACATGCTTCGTTCCATAATTTAGTTGTCCCATTGAACCTAGGTGCCAGCTAGGTTGGGTGTCCACTATAGAACTTTTATTCCATGGGCTTCAGACCTATTCCTCGTGCCAACTTCTCAACAACATCTTTGCTCAACCCTTTGGTTAGCGGATCCGCTATATTGTCCTTTGACTTCACATAGTCAACAGAGACAACACCCGTTGTGAGTAGTTGTTTAATGGTATTATGTCTTCGATGTATATGTCTAGACTTACCATTATACATATGACTTTGCACTCTCCCAATTGTTGCTTGATTATCACAATGCACACTAATTGGAGGTACAGGTCTATCCCAACAAGGAATATCCTCCACAAAATGGCATAGCCATTCAGCCTCTTCACAACATTTGTCTAAGGTTATCAGCTCAGATTCCATCGTGGATCTAGCTATCAAGGTTTGTTTCGAGGATTTCCAAGAAACGGCTGCACCAGCTAACGTAAACACGTAGCCACTCGTGGACTTAGAGTCCTTCATATCCGATATCCAGTTAGCATCGCTATACCCTTCGAGTACAGCAGGATATCGTGTATAGTGCAGTCCCCAGTCACGAGTATACCTCAAGTATCTCATAACTCTCACTATTGCCTTCCAGTGCGCATCACTGGGGTTGCTCGTATATCTATTGAGTTTGCTAACCGCAAAGGCAATATCAGGCCTGGTACTGCTCATTAGATACATCAAACTTCCAATAATCCTAGCGTATTCTACTTGAGAGATACACTTTCCGTGATTTTTGGACAGATGAACGTTAGTATCTAATGGAGTCCTAGCCACTTGATAATCATCCTTGTTAAACTTTGCAAGGATTTTATCAACATAATGAGATTGGCTTAACACGAGACCATCAGGTCTTCTCACGATTCTAATCCCAAGGATTAAATCTGCCAAACCCATATCCTTCATGTCAAATCTCGAATTTAACATGTCCTTGGTAGATTTGATCATTCGATAGTTACTACCCACGATGAGTATATCATCCACATATAAACAAAGAATGACATAACTGTCTATCGTTTCCTTAACGTAGGCACACTTGTCACTTTCGTTTATATTGAACCCATTGGTTAACATCGCATGGTCAAACTTCTCGTGCCACTGCTTGGGCGCTTGTTTTAAACCATATAACGATTTAACCAATTTACAGACTTTCTTTTCTTGGCCCGGAACCGCAAAACCCTCAGGTTGCTCCATATAGATTTCTTCATCTAACTCGCCATTCAAGAAAGCTGTTTTCACGTCCATTTGATGTACTTCCAAATTCCGTAGTGCGGCTATGGCAAGTATCATCCTTATGGAATTTATTCTCGTTACGGGAGAATACATGTCGAAGCAATCAAGGCCCTCGTGTTGCCTGTAACCCTTAATTACAAGTCTAGCCTTATACTTCTCAATGGAACCATCAGGTTTCAACTTCCGTCTAAAGACCCACTTGGATTCCAAGGGCTTACTACCCGGAGGAAGATCAACCAGTTCCCAAGTGTGATTCT